GAAGTTCGCGAGGTCCAGGTCCATTACTCGTTACCAGCTGAGAATTCAGCTGGTCCATCCGTGACGAACACGTCAGCAGATCTGTTCGGTGGCCTCCCTCGAGGTCATTTCGCTCCGCGAGGAATTCATTCCAGAGTTCTTAGTGTCCATTTGTCGTCTGTTCTTCTTATTATATGACCAGACCATCGATGCTTTGCCTTAGAGACGTATTCCGCTGGATCGCGAAGAAGACATTGATCTCATATCTGAACTAAGAAGTCCGACGAGAGTTGTGTGCATCCGTTGTATTCAGAAAGCGTCGTTCCAGCGCTCTGTAGGTTGTTTGGAGAGCCTTTGACGTATCTACAGTGTCAGGCCGCGTCTCTGCTGCGTAGCAGAGCGCAGAGAGAACGGTTGAATCGAACAGGTAGGCTCGGAGCTCTGGGTCCGTCAGCTGTCTGTGGCTTCCTTTCTCAAGCTGCTCTTTGCCTTCTGTTTAGTTCCTCTTTCAGATCGTTCTCATGTTCATTGAACGACGTCTCTTGTAGAGCCTTTTAATTCCATTTCCTGATCCTCGCAAATAGCGTTCTTCGAACTGAGTCTTCTTCCGGTTGATTCGCAGTCCTATCCGCTTCCCTACTTTTCGCAAAAGGCATTCTTCATGAACTGAGTCTTCTTCCGGTTGATTCGCAGTCCTATCCGCTTCCCTACTTCCTAGTTCCTTCAACATCGTCTCCGCTTCAGTGATACTTTTCGAGAAGAGAACAATGTCGTCCGTAAAACGAAGGTTTGAGAAAGTTCCTTCAACATCGTCTCCGCTTCAGTGATACTTTTCGAGAAGAGAACAATGTCGTCCACAAAACGAATATTCGAGAGGAATCTCCCATCAACTCGTATACCTTTCCCGTTTCAGTAGTGATTTCATCACCCACTGCAACTCGGCGGTAAACAGCTTTGGCGACACGGTGTCGCCTTGTCGAACCCCCTTCGTAATTGGTATGTTAAGGGGAGGAGGAAAAGCTGTGCCGTTGCAGCCCAATTCCTGCAGCAGTCGTCCAACGTCCTCATGTAAAATGAGTCCACCCCTTGCTCGATGAGCGCTGACAGTATGGCATTAGTCTCGACGCTGTCAAACGCATTCTCATGGTATATACAGTTTTCGAAAAATGGTCAGTATTTATTACTGATCATTTTTTGAAAATTGTCTCTATTCTACACACCCCAAGGCTGACTAGCCGAATTGGCCAGCTGAAAATGTGTTCTGAAGATCCAAGCTTTACAAAGCTGTTCTAAGATTCGGTACCTTGGGCTTTTGCCCACAAATCTTTAGAACTAATTTATTAGTAAACTTATCTCCGTAGAGATACAGTTATCTTCAAAGCAGGCACTAGAGTATTCAAAAATGGTACTCGCAACCTTCTGCAATTCCACTTCCTCTATGGAGTGTATATCATCCTCTTGGGCGAGTAAAGACTTATTTTATTTGTTAAGAAAAACGCCGAGTTTGATGGAGCGAAAAAGCCCTACAAAGTACAAATCTGGGGGCCGTAGCTCAGAGATTTGAGCGAGGGAAGCCGAGTGAGCTAGTTAAAGTTAAATTCCAAGTGTAGAACAAATACTTTATATTCGCCAAACAAACTCATTTT